AAAAAAAAAAAAAAAAAAAAAAAAAAAATCGAAAAAGACTAAATGACGTCTTCCTCTTGACTTGTGTCTGAATTCCCCGAGTTTTACTCCTTTTAACACATCATCTATTGTGTTTGTTTTGTTTTGTGTATTTACACACTCTTCGAAACACAAAAAATAAAAATAAACATCAAAGATGATAAGTTGTTTCATCTCTCTTCTTCTTCTCTCCTCATAACTCTTTTTTCTTTCAATTCAAATCACTCTATTCACCACCGTTTGAATAAACTCTCCGATAATGAGCAAACTAGTGGTTGAAATCGCGGACGCGAGCGACTTGATGCCTAAAGATGGGCAAGGCTCAGCGAGTCCCTTCGTGGAAGTTGAATTCGACGACCAGCGTCAGAGAACGCAAACGCGTTTCAAAGATCTAAACCCCCAGTGGAACGAGAAGTTAGTTTTCAACGTCGGTGACTTGAGGCGTTTGACCAACAAGACCATCGACGTCACCGTCTACGACGACCGCCGTGATAACCAACCGGGAAAGTTCCTCGGCCGTGTAAAAATCTCCGGCGCCGTCGTTCCGTTATCGGAATCTGAAGCCGATGTTCAGAGGTATCCTCTCGATAAACGAGGCTTGTTCTCTCACATCAAAGGCGATATCGCTTTGAGAATCTACGCCTCCGCTCCTATCGACGGCGGCGGAGCAGATTTCATTGAGGAGTTCGTTGAGAAAGAGACCAAGGAGGAGGAGGAGAAGAAGCAGGAGTTTCAGAATCAAAACCAAAACTCCTACGAAGAGGTTTACGTGGAGCCTAAGCCTAAGAAGAAGGAGAAAGAAACAAGAACTTTCCACTCAATCGGAGCTCAACAACAACAACCGCCACCGGCTCAAGCTAAGCCTTCTCCACCTCCTAACCAACCGGAGTTTAGGTCAGATTTCATGAGAGCTCCGGGACCACCGCCGGGCGCGGTGATGCAGATGCCGCTTCCACCGAGACAGAATCCAGAGTTTCAGCTAATCGAGACAAGTCCTCCGTTAGCAGCTCGGAGGAGACAGTCGTACTATTACCGGGGCAGCAGCGGAGGAGGAGGAGACAAAACCTCGAGCACATACGACCTAGTGGAGCAGATGCATTACCTCTACGTGAGCGTCGTGAAAGCTCGAGATCTCCCTGTGATGGATGTCTCCGGTAGCTTAGATCCTTACGTGGAGGTGAAGCTTGGCAACTACAAGGGCTTGACTAAACACTTGGAGAAGAATCAGAATCCCGTCTGGAAACAGATCTTCGCCTTCTCCAAAGAGAGGTTGCAGTCCAATCTTCTTGAAGTCACGGTTAAAGACAAAGATCTCATCACTAAAGATGACTTTGTGGGAAGAGTGTTGATTGATCTCACTGAAGTTCCTCTCAGGGTTCCTCCGGATAGTCCTCTGGCTCCTCAGTGGTACAGGCTTGAGGACAAGAAAGGGATGAAGACGAACAGAGGAGAGGTCATGCTTGCTGTTTGGATGGGGACTCAGGCAGATGAGTCTTTCCCTGACGCGTGGCACTCTGATGCGCACCGCGTGAGCCATTCCAACAACCTCTCCAACACTCGTTCCAAAGTTTACTTCTCACCGAAGCTGTATTACCTCAGGATTCATGTGATGGAGGCTCAGGATCTTGTGCCGTCTGATAAAGGAAGAGTCCCTGAGGCTATCGTTAAGATCCAGGCGGGGAATCAGATGAGGGCGACGAGGACGCCTCAGATGCGGACAATGAGTCCTCAGTGGAACGAGGAGCTTATGTTTGTTGTGTCTGAGCCGTTTGAGGATATGGTGATTGTGTCGGTTGATGATAGGATTGGTCCGGGGAAAGATGAGATATTGGGGAGGTTGTTTATACCGGTGAGGGATGTTCCGGTGAGGCAAGAGACTGGGAAGATGCCTGATCCAAGGTGGTTTAATCTTCAGAGACACTCAATGTCTATGGAGGAAGAGACTGAGAAGAAGAAAGAGAAGTTCTCTAGTAAGATTCTGCTTCGGGTTTGTATTGAAGCTGGGTACCATGTTCTCGACGAGTCCACGCATTTCAGCAGCGATCTTCAGCCGTCTTCAAAGCATTTGAGGAAGCCGAGCATTGGGCTTCTTGAGCTTGGGATTCTCAGTGCTAGGAACTTGATGCCTATGAAAGCTAAAGATGGGAGGATGACTGATCCTTATTGTGTGGCTAAATATGGGAACAAATGGGTGAGAACGAGGACTCTTTTAGACGCGCTCGCACCTAGGTGGAACGAGCAGTATACTTGGGAAGTTCATGATCCTTGCACGGTTATAACAATTGGAGTCTTTGACAATGGCCATATCAACAACGATGGCGGCGGTGACTCCAGGGACCAGAGGATCGGGAAAGTTAGAGTCAGGCTATCTACGCTGGAGACGGACCGGGTTTACACTCATTACTACCCGTTGCTGGTTCTTACGCCTGGAGGTCTAAAGAAGAACGGTGAGCTTCAGCTAGCTCTGAGGTACACTTGCACCTCTTTTGTTAACATGATGGCTCAGTACGGAAGACCGTTGTTGCCGAAAATGCATTATGTTCAGCCTATACCAGTCAGGCATATCGACTTGCTTAGGCATCAGGCGATGCAAATAGTTGCAACAAGACTATCAAGGTCGGAGCCACCGCTGAGACGAGAGGTTGTGGAGTACATGCTTGATGTAGACTACCATATGTTCAGTCTAAGGAGGAGCAAAGCCAATTTCAGCAGAATCATGTCGCTTCTCTCCTCACTCACTCTGGTCTGCAAGTGGTTCAACGATATCTGTACATGGAGAAACCCAATCACCACCTGTCTTGTCCATGTTCTGTTCCTGATTCTTGTCTGCTACCCAGAATTGATTTTACCAACAATCTTCCTCTACCTCTTTGTGATAGGCATGTGGAACTACCGGTACAGACCAAGACATCCGCCTCACATGGACGCCCGTGTGTCTCAAGCAGACAACGCCCACCCAGACGAGCTGGACGAGGAGTTTGACACTTTCCCGACTAGCAGACCAGCAGACATTGTCAGAATGAGGTATGATAGGCTTAGGAGTGTCGGTGGGAGAGTCCAGACAGTGGTGGGGGACTTGGCGACACAAGGAGAGAGGATTCAAGCCTTACTTAGCTGGAGAGACCCGAGAGCAACTGCTTTATTCATCGTCTTCTCGTTGATATGGGCTGTGTTTATATACATAACACCCTTCCAGGTGATTGCCATCTTGCTCGGGCTGTTCATGCTGCGCCATCCACGGTTCAGGAGCAGAATGCCTTCCGTACCTGCCAATTTCTTCAAGAGATTACCAGCCAAGTCAGATATGCTACTTTAGGTAAACAAAATATCATCATTGTATCTTCTGTAATAGTGTGTGATGAACATAAGTGGAGAAACTTGTAGAGTGAAGCCAAGGAAAACTAGTTTTGCCTGAATGTGTGTATTTCCCCAATATTATGTAATATGATGATGTTTCAATATTCTACCTTTAGTTGGAATAAAATGAGCCAATTATTTTTACAAATGCTCAATAAGATTTCATGTAAAGCATACAACCAAAAGAGAAGAGTCTCTGGTGTGAGACGTTACTGATTGTGATTAAATGACCTTTGGGATCTTATCATCCCCGACGAGCCATCTGGATAGCTAGCCAACAAGGATCTTTGGCGAAGTATCTGCATTGTGTTGGAATGATCCCGAGATTGCTACCCGATCTGAGCGGAATCATTTAAAGCTTTTTCGATCCCTTCTTCTTCTCCCATGTCCTCCATTAGATCGACTGTGTTCATGCGCAGAACTTCCGCAGAGTTCTGTTCTAACGCATGGTCGTTGTCAAACGGCTCCATTGCTGGGCACTGTTTTAAATTGGATCATGAAGAATGGAATATTTTGAGTTGTATTCAAAGGTGTACCTATTAATCTGTAGATGCAAATTAGCAAAAAGATAAAGAATCTGAACCTGACAAAACTCAGCATAATGTCTGTAGATTTCGCTGTTTTCATCTTGGTCACCGAGGAGAGTACCACCATACCAACCATTGGTTTCACTGGTTGCTGTGATCGATAAGTACCTATACAGTCCAAAAAAATTTAAAAAATTCATTTCGACGGAAGTTTACAATTCAGAGAGGGAAGAAAAAGGAGAATTTGAAGATATCTTCTTGATGATCGTTATGTTCAGAAAGCCAGTCCAGATTGCAGAATGGTTTACTCTCTCGATTGATCTCACACTTTTCTCACTATCGTCTGCCCCAGGTTTTGTGGCAGAGCCCCACTCTCTTCAGGCTTTCTTGAACCAAACAGCCAATTGGGGTTCTTGAGCTGAATCTCACTGCAGATGAGAAAGTCAAGAAAAATAAACTATTAACTTTCGCAAAAGAAGTACACTGCAGATGAGCGACCCCAAAACCCCAAAATCGATCTCGTTTTCGACGGCAAAGCTGTCTCCGTCTGCGTTTTCCGGTGACTTCACATCATCTGGACAACGGAATCTGCTCTGACTCTCTGTTCTCACATCGCTGACGAACCTTTCGTCATGGAGGAGTGTGAGATTCAAAGTTCTGATATCGATGGCATCAACAATGGACCGGATCCCGGAGCTCTGAAACCTCCGGAGAACGACAAGCCCTTATCGTCAACTCAGCTCTCCTCTGCTCCACTTGCGATGAACTGTGATGAAGAGGAACGGCCTAAGGAGGTGTGTCAATCACCACCTCATTCGCCTTCGATTCGCGTTCAAACTTCGGAGGTCGACATACTCCAATCTCCTCTGTTTCTCCTGAGCTGGACAGCGGTGACAAGGCAGTTTCATTGGTAGATGGCCAAGCGTCAACTCCTGCGCTCATAGATTCTTCGGTCCAACAGACTAAGCTACAAGGAGCATGGTCCAAGCCATTAATCATTAACGGGAACTCGAATCTTTTTTCTCCGTTTGAAAAGAACATGGACAACTCTCAGCGTGTGGCTCAGAAGGAGGATCAAACTGTGGTTGCTCAATCAAACGCCAAGAAAGACGCTACACGTACTCATCAAACAAGGATTCCCACTGATAAGACTCGTTTTCCTTGGGCTGCTCAAATGATCAGCAAGCACGGAATCTACATCGAGTCACGGTTCCAGATTACATGGAGGATGGCACACCTAAGGTAATCATCCCCGACGATGTCCTTCTTCATGGTTTGCAGAACCATAAGGAATATGTTATAGGACAGTTTAACCGTTGCTTAGTACCATCTGGTGGTTTGGGGTACGCTGTTCTAAATAGGCTGTGGGGTAGAAAATGTGAGATTTCTGTCAGGAAGCTTGGTGAATTTTCATATATATTCCACATTCCAGATGAGGCAACTAGAAAATGGATCCTACAACGTAGTCTATGACATGTGGATGATTGCATTATGTTTGTAGCACCGTGGACCGCCAAAGAATCTATAATCATGCCTGAAATAAATTCAATTCTTCTCTGGGTAAAGCTTAAGAACATCCCCACCACTTTATATCCCATCCCTGGGATCGAATGGATTGCATCAGGATTGGGAGAACCGATGTTATCACACAAACCGTGGTTAGACCCAACAATGTTAGGTGAAGGTAAGGTTAATGGTGGAAGTTAAGCTCGATAAACCATTTCCTCAAAAGGTTGCAGCTTGGGACAAACAAGGAAATTTCTGCATGGTTGACGTGGAATATTCTTGGCTACCTACAACTTGCGAGAGATGCGGTCAGCTTGGCCACAAACAAAAGAGGTGTTTGGCTATTCAAAAGACAACTACATCAGCTACGGGTAACAAGACTGCCTCAGTTGCAAATGTATTTGCATCATCTGTCGATGCTGCAACAAGTGACAAGGAAACTCAACAGGTTCCAACTGACGTTCCAAGCTCATTGCAAGGACATGTTAGGGTACCGCTGCAAGACATGAGTTTGTCAAAGCCTGCCTCAAATAAGGATAATTCATCTCAAATTCTGATCAGGTTACTATCCCTAACCATTCTCTTTAAGTCATAAATAAACATAGTACGGTAGATTTCACCTTCAACGTGGTGGATGATTTAGCTTCTCTGGCTGCGGTTTCGGCCCTTGAGAACATGCCAATAATGGTATATGTGAATGAAACGATTGATCCTCCAGCTACGGAGAGTGCCCCATCTCAAACAATGGCATATACGAATGAAACGATTGATTATCTGGCTACGGAGACTACCCCAACTTCAAAAAATAACGATTCAATTGATCTTTTAACACCATTAGGGAAACGCATCCTTCGGGAAAGACCGGTTAAACCTTCGGAAAAAGCAAAAGAGTGGCAGTTGCAATCTACTGCTCGAGGGCGAGGAAACAAAGGACATGGAAACAGAGGAAGACACAGGTAGATGTGTTTCGGTCATCTATTAAAGTCATCTAAAATGTTTGCACTGCTTATTTATGATTCTTTTTGAATCATCTTATTTCCAACTTGTTCGTAAAGACTATATGATTTCGGTCACAGCAAAGATGTAACTGTTTTATCCAATATATTTATTTAATAAAAAATAAAAAAACCTCCGCAAAAATTCATGGTTTGATTTGAACAAAAGTCTCTCTTCTTTTCTAAACTAGGAACCATCTTCCTACTTTCTGATTGGGTCTAAAGTCCTACTAAACCCCCAAAAAACCACATTCAAGGTTTATTAGCCATTCCCAAAATTCAAGATCCAGTCAAAGGCCTATTGAGATGGTTGAAAATTTCAAGTGAGGATCATTACGCTGCATCAGTAGCCACACCAGTGCATCCAGTACTGCCACCTGGCCTTTGGTCTGTCTCGCTACAAAGCCTTACGTTCTTTATTGAACTGCACGTCTGCTCGATCTGTTTGTTAAAAGAAGTCAGCTTCTTCCGTGAGAAGTCTTCTATGAAAGCTGGCACTGGTGCCAGCTTTACTCCAATTCTACTCATGGGTTTTGGGATGGAGAGGACCTTGCATTACACCAGAATCAGAAATCATACGCAATCAGAGGTTAAGATTTTTCTTGGTGGGTGTTTAAAAGAAAAGATCTTTCTTGGTGATTTTAATTTAACATCTTTGGTATTTCCTGAATTGGTTAATTAGCCTATTAAACTTCTGGTCCAGTTGCAAGCACCAACTGAAAATGTGGTATATGTTTTGCATCTTATTAAGTGTTAACCCATAACTTGACACCCACTAGGTTGACTAAAAGTAATTTTACCCGCTTCCAGGGAAAATATCATCTCCAATCCCTGAAACATGGAGATAGTAATCAGAGTCCAGCTCTCAGAGTGCAGGTTTCCCATCCTGAGGTTGAAAGTAGCCCAAGAATCTACTTGCAATAAGTCATTAGTTAGTAGTTACTACTAGGAGACTCAATAGACACGAAAACACAGAGTTCTTAGCCAACAATTCTTCTGAGGATTCACTATCTTGGTAGTTGAGATTATCAGTGATGCCTAAGAGAATAGTGGTTATGTCAAGGTTCTATTGCCTCTATCTAATCAACAATAAGGTAAAAACTCAGAGATTTATTCTATTGCTACATCACCTGCTTACCAAAAATATTTAGAACTTAGCACGAAACTGAAGTGACTTCTGCAAGAAAGAAGTATCTTACAAGTTTATGGCTTCTTGCTTTTCGCCATCGGTGTAGGTATTGCTGTAGTATCGTTGGATATACTTGAGTAAATCTCTAGACTGTGTCGTGGCCTTCCATTTCCCCTTCCTTTCAGGGAAACCCTATAATCCATTTAAAGATGTTAACGAATAAGCATTGCAAAATTCTGCTCTCTCAAAATGACTTATAAACAACAAATATGATAAGTGGTGTTACAGTATTGTGCGCAGCTGAGCCACCATATTGTTGTGCAAGGGCATCGCCCATGCTCTGGTACATATCCATAAGTGCAGCAGCTATGCTACTGTTAGGGACGATCTCAAATGTATCACTCAATCCCATTGCGTGCAGTTGCCGGCCTAAAGCAGCCAAACCATATGCATTTTGTGCAACGTTTGTTTGATCCCAGCAGTCAATACAATTAGTACGCAGAACACCTCTTTGGTGAAGAGGGGTTGAGGAATCAGCTCCATCATCTAATTTTTGTTGGTTTAGCTTCATCTCTTTTTCTCGGTTAGCAAGAGTAGTAAGTATATCATTTGAACTCTCACCTCTTGTAAGTTCCACATAGTAAGCTCTTAGATCACGCAGAGATAGTTCCCTGCAGCAATTTTCTCCATTAAAACCAGAAAGGTAACAAATGGCACCAGTGATCGGAATTAAAAAAAAAAAATCTAACTAAATACGTAATATCCGACCATATCATCCCAAAAATTTACCTTCCAGTGCTAGCATGACTTAGATGGCGAGCTTTCTTCTTAACGATTTTAGGCTTGCCACTGAAGTAAAATCAAGTCAAATCAAGAGCTTCGTTTGCTACAGCACCCAAAACAACCAGTACATACGCCGACTTGCTTTGACATCGAAAATAGAAAGCACTGTGAGGTCAAGTCAAAAGACAGAAAACCAAATCCAGAACATTTTACCTCTTTGCAAATTTGTGGAAAGCTCAGTGAATAAATTTGAGAGGATTTTCTTCACGAAGAATTGAGTTGAGATAACCCACTGCATTCGAAAACTCACGCCTCAGCACCATTTCCCGAGGTCTTTCCTCAATTGTCTGAATATTTCCGTGGAAATTTGTGAGTTAAAAACAAAAGGAATAACCGTATGGACATTCAATAATGTATGAATATTTACAGGGAAACTTAATGCCTCTTTGCTTTAAACGTACACTAAATTTAAAAAACTAACCTTGATTAAGTTGAGCACAATAATTGGATTACCATATCGGTTCACCAGGTCTTCAAAATGTATTTTGGTTGACTCGTATGTAGGATCATACCTCTGTACTGGGAAGAAACAACCAGAAAAAAGGAAGATCAATAACAAACGTTAGATTCGTCTAATAGAGATAACATGTGCATGTTAAGTTAGTTTCTCACAGAAAATATCAGGCTTGGGACTAAATTTTGAGGTCTCTTGCGACCAAAAGAGTGGAATTGATCCTCGCATTTGTACCACTGAGGTCATTTTTTTCCCTTGCATGATCTAGCTTCTTCATCAAAAACAAATTGTTATGTTTCAACATCATTCGCAACCCTTCCACAATCATTCACGCCCCTTTTCAAGTAACTTTGATAAAGAATTACAGAGTAAAAAGGCAATCTATTATACAGAAAAAAAGAGAGACAAGCATCCAAACTTAGTCTAGAAGAGATCCCTCGTCACTCAATACTATGGAATCCTCATCCATGAGAGGCCTGATCAAAATGATGTCTTACCGTGTGCCTGCAAAATGTCGGGAACGTCTGGAGACTAGAGTTAGACTGAAGTCTCTTCCATATATCGATAACCTTATCTGAATGACAGGGCAAACCACAGAATAGTAAGAACCATTTTAACTATACTGATGATATACATAGACCCATATAAGTCAAGATACAAGAGACTACTAATACCTGCTTAAAATTCCCATGAACTAACGCCAGCGCCCAAATAGTATTGTTACACCTTGATCGAGTAGGCTGTGTCAGATATGCATTCCACACAAGATGTTATCATAGGGCACACCTTCCTCACCAGATGACAAAACGTTCTTTTGCAAACTTTGCATTATAGGATACGTGTAACAGTAAAAGAAGCTTGACAGAAGCTTCTTGTACCTGCAAATAAATTATATACAAGAGAACTATGTAAATGTCACAAGGTGCAATAATAATACAAGCTTCGATTATGAAAGAAAACCTTAGTTCAGTTTTGGAATTGGCAACTTCAGATTGGAAACTTGAATGTGGAACACTGATCATTTGAGTTTCATCAATAGCATAAATCGCATGCCCACATATTCATCCAATCTGTCGCCGTTTTGTCACCAAAATCAAGTACAGTAAAACCTCTATAAATTAATAATGTTGACACTTTACAATTTTATTAACTTATAGAGATATTAATTTACAAAATTTTCATTTTCTGTTTTCGAATATTTTTATTTATAAAATAAGAAAATATTTTATTTTACCGTATATAAAATTTGACTTTCATATTGTTTTATTATTTTATTTGGTGTATATTTTTATGTTTCATAAAATTGTTATTGGGGTTTTCGATGTAATTTTACTAAATATTATCAAAATATATTAAAATTTTAAGAAAATAGATGTATTTGCATTGTGAATATAAAACCAATAATACAATATTTAGTTTGTACTTATATAAAAATATATAAAGATAAATTATTAATTTATAATTTTAATAGGACTAAATATTTACATGAAAGTTCTAAAAAATATTATTATCTTATTATTTTATCGATCTGTGTTATATTTTACACCGGCCCAAATTAGAACCGGTAAAATTTATTAATTTAGAGAGATTATTAATTATCCAGTATTAATTTATAGAGATTCTACTGTAATATGACTCCATAAACCTAGCACAACCTACAAAACGAAGAAGCTCACCCAACAGACACAATGAGAGCTAAACATTTTACTTCCACAAAAACTAACCAGCAACGCCATAAAATTTGGAGACAAAGGACAATCCTCCAGTGGATCGATTCCCTTCAGCAATACGCTGAAGAAGACTCTTGATTTTTTGAGGCGAGTACACGACCGGATCTTCACTTGTGTGAAGCTCAGATGGCTCGGAACGATCAATCTTCAGCACTCTGAAGAATCTTTTGTTCCTATCACTCTAAACTAGATAAAATCTCTGCGCAAACATATCAAAAGTATAAGAATACATAAGCGAAATTCAATCTAGGGTTTTTCAATCACCGCTCTGGTCTCGTAGAGTTTGAATTTCTCGAGGGCGTATGAATCGGGATAGGCGTCAGCATCGTTGGACGGTTGTATATTCGCGAGAGATGAATAGGTAGAAGTCGTTGAGTTTTCCGATTTTGCCATAGAGTGTTAGTCTCTCTCAGGCACGTCTCATACTTTATGAGGGCCTTGTGAAAAATTAATATATTTCAACAACAACCAAAAGAACTAAAAAAAAAAGGGTCCTAACTTTTTTAAAAGAGCCCTAATTACTAACTAAATTTTTGATGAAATTTTGTGGACTCTGAGCAATTGTACCCTGGGCACATGTCCAAAGACGGCTCTGGTCACTCTCTTGGAGACGGCGATCATTTGTGATCGGAGAACGAGAGAGCTCAGACGTTAGGAACTCGCACGGAGGGAGGAACTTCTCCGTATATTTATAGTTTTTAACAGATTGGGCTCATTGGATCTGTTTCGGATTTTTTATTTATACGAAAAGCCCAAAAACATGGACAGTAAGAATTATGTTAGTAAGCAGTTTAGTCACGGGTGAAGTGCAGTGAGACATTTGCTTTTGGTCTTGGAATTTTAGATATATTAGTATGTTTTATATTATTCAGATTATAGAAGAATATATTAAAATTTAGTTTTAAATTTCTATGACCGGCGATTAGTAAGCTCAATTCTCCAACATTTATATTTTTTAAACTAAAATTTGTACCAGTAAAACATTCTAAAGTATGAGAAAAATATCTTGTGCTGATTGTGTGTTGAGGTATTTTTCGGGAAAGGTTATCACTGAGTGTTACAAAATAGAGATTATTTGGTGAAACACTATATTAGGACCCTTAATTAGCCAAATGCCCATGATGAGACTGATTCAATTTATTAGACGAAATTACCCTTCTTTTTACATGCATGTGACTCTCTCTCACCAACACACTCTCTCTCCTGACACTCTCTTTCCTTCGATTCCTCTTCTTTCTCATTCTCGAACTCTTTTATCATGTTAATACCTTCATTTTTTTGTGTAAAAATTTATTGTTGCGAAAAAATTTATTACTATTTTACTACTATTCTTATGAATCTAAATTATTTTAATTACACCACATTCTGGTAAAATCAGCATTGAAGTTTTTTTTTTAAATCGCCGAGATGTTAACACTTATGTTAGCTGTTAACAAATAATGTAGATGTCAACAAAAGTGTTAACTGTTAACAAATACATGTACCGGATGTATTAACAGAGGCATTAACTGTTAATAAATTTTGTAAATGTTAACAGATGTGTTAACTGTTAACAAAGACATGTATTACAAGTGTTAACAGAGATGTTAGTTGTTAATAAATTTTGTAGATGTCAATACATGCGTTAGCTATTATATGTTAATAAATAAATATTCTTGAAGTTTCATTTCTCTATCAAAATGAGTAAACTTAAAATTCATTTACATATAAAATTTTAGATGAGAAAAAAAATCAAGAAAAATAGTTGAAAAGAAAGAACTGAATATGAAAAAGAGATGTGTGAAAAATATGTGTAGTTTAAAGAAAGAGAGGAAGAATCGTTGGAGAGAGAGTGTCAGATATAGACAATATGATTCAGAAGGGCATTTTCGTCCAACACCAACCAAATTGTAAGAAAAGTTGTTTTAATATCAACTCATGTGTATTTGCCTAATATTGCCTTCAATTTTGGGCATTTGCCTAATTCTCTCTACAAAATAAGCTTATGTTTTTGTTTATATGTAGCGGAATATCCGGTTAAGAGTACAGGGTTGAACAAAGGCTCATAAACCGTTATGATCGTTCTATATTGGGTTTAGTATTAAAACCCCTCAACAAAAGATGAATCGTAAAAAAAACTCTCAACTAAAGATTTAGCGAAATAAACCCTCAACTTTAGTTCCGTTAATATTTGTCACCCTCCGTCACAGAATTTTAGACGGAGGGTGACATACGTTAACATAACTAAAGTTGAGGGTTTATTTCACTAAATCTTTAGTTGAGAGTTTTTGTTACGATCCATCTTTAGTTGAGGGGTTTTATTACTAAATGCGATTAAATATTTTAAAATCTTTGTTATCATTTATTTATTCCCTTTATTATTTAAGAATCTTACAAAACATTGAAAATAATTTATAATTATTTATATATTACTTTATCAAATTTATAAACTATTTATAAAGCTTAGTAAATAATTTAATATTTTAAAAAAACTATTTATAAGGTTTAACGACGATTTTATAAGCTTTTGTCTGCTATTTCTTAGGGTGGAATAATACATGATTTTTCTTGATATTACGAAGTAAAAGAATAAAACCTTATAAAGGAGGAAACACATACAATTTTCTTATACTAATACTTTCAAATATCAAATAATTAAGATTTCTAAGTTATATAAAGTTGTAGGTAGTGTTGAGGATATTTAATTAATTTAGAAATTCAACATTGTTACTTAAAATATGAGAAGGACATTTTTCTCCTCTTTAAACAATTTCTGTTTGATTCATATTTTTTTTTATTTCAGAAGAAATAATGTAGGATTATTTTTCTGAACCAATATGTTATACTCTTACCATATTAATCAATAAGATTTTCTTGTTTCATTTATTTACTTCATGTTTTTGTAGTATGACGAATAATCACTTTTTTAATCTTATAAAATCATCATTAAACCTTAATAATAATTTATAAAAAGTATTAAATGAGAAAAGTTTATAAATAAGTTATAAAATTGATAAAGTAATATATAAAAAATATAAATTATTTTCATGTTTATAAATCAATTTTAAGATTCATTAATATAAATTATTTTCATGTTTATAAATCAATTTTAAGATTCTTAAATAATGAATAAATGATAATAACTGTATTTAGTAATAAAACCCCTCAACTAAAGATGGATCGTAACAAAAACCCTCAACTAAAGATTTAGTGAAATAAATCCTCAACTTTAGTTCTGTTAACGTATGTCATCCTCCGTCTAAAATTCTGTGACGGAAGGTGACAAATATTAACGGAACTAAAGTTGAGGGTTTTTTTCACTAAATTTTTAGTTGAGGGTTTTTTTTACGATATAATTTTAGTTGAGGGGGTTTATTACTAAAAACCCTTCTATATTATGCAAAGCTTATGGCTCCCATAAACATTAAATATTGGATGTCAAAATGTTTTTTATTGAACAGTAGTTAACCTGAAATACTGAACGGTGGTTGGACTGTAGAAACAATTCAGAGGAAAGTGTATGGTTGAACAAAAGGCTGATAACTCTTATGGTCGTTCTTAATTATGCATAGCTTATGCCTCCTACCAAACATTGAATAGTGGATCTCAAAATGTTTGTATTGAACAGTAGTTTTGTTGGATTGTAGAACACTTCCGAAAAAAGGTGAATGGCTGAAGAAGAAAATCAATATATCTCCACCAATTTAAATATTAGTTCTGTTTGGTGGAATGATGATAGATCGGTCGAAGGTGTATGGTTGAGGACATTTATAAACTCTTTGATTATTGGTTGTGTCTTTTTTTGGAAGGAAAGAAAAAGAAAACAGAATTAAATGAAAAAGATAGGATTGTTAGAAGACTTTTGTGAGCTTAAGTTTGTGTGTGTTTGTATTAGTATTACATCACGTTGTAAAACTCAACTCTATTTTATACTGCAATACTTTTGAAATTTTCATAACTTGTCTAAGTGAGTATATAACCGTATAAGAAAGAATGTTAGCATTTGTATGTTCTATGACAAATATTAATAAACATTGTTGCGTAATACATTTATATTATTTAAATTTTTAATTGGACCGTCATTGTTAGAACTGCGGTGTGAATTCTCGATCACATGGCTTAACGGACACAACACAACAAGAGAAGACCAAGAAGAGACAGAAGAAATACACATGCCCAACTCAAATAATTCAGTTATCCAACTAATCTATAAGAAAAAAATAATTGGATGATTAGACACGTGGAAGTGCGTGAGAGAAGTAGCGTGTGGAGAGAGTGATTGGAGGAAGAGAGAGGTTGAGTACTGAGATGAAAAAAGACAGCTACCTACTCATCTTACCAATCTATCTACCTACTTTCTTTCAGATCTACTCTCTTGATTTTATCCTGTTTCTTTAACAGAATTGAAAGATATTGCCAAGGATATAATTTTTAAAAAAGTGACGCAGTAAGAATTGCTAAACAGTTACATGGTTTGAAAAATCCTTGTTATATGCTAAAAAGAACTAATGCAATGAAGAATGGTTAAACTTGTCGAAGGTAGTAATATCGCATATAAAGTATAATTATAGTTAGTTTAGTTTTGAATCAATCATATGTTTTTTTTTTTTTTTTTTTTTTTTTTTTTTTTGTAAGAAATTGTGGGATAAACTTATTGTTATGATGTTTTCTCAGATGACCCAAAAGAAAAGAAAGTCAATAACTAAACCGTACGATCTGCATCTGAAAAAGATTAATAAGAACGAAAAAGTTAGGAAACCCCCACGTTCCTGTGGGTGTACAATCAATTTTATTGTTTTCCCTGGTTGTTACAATATTCATAGGTACAAATACATTCAACTTATATATATTTTCATTTCATTTTTAGGTCATTTTCTATGACTGTATTATTAAATATAGTTTGGTAGTTATTATAAATAACATTCAAAACCAAACATCCTACAGGAACTCTCTTCCTTCAACAAAAAAACACACCAATTAGGTACATATCAATAGAGATCAAAGAAAGCAGAGGCCATTAGAGAGAGAGAGAGATGGGAAGGTCACCTTGTTGCGAGAAGGCTCACATGAACAAAGGAGCTTGGACTAAAGAAGAAGATCAGCTTCTCGTAGATTACATCCGCAAACACGGCGAAGGTTGCTGGCGATCTCTCCCTCGAGCAGCCGGTAATATATACATAACACCGTATCTCTGTGCATATAGTGAGATAGAGAGAGGATGGTTTGATAAAAAGTTTCAAAATTTTGACAGGTTTACAGAGATGTGGTAAGAGTTGTAGGTTAAGATGGATGAATTATCTTAGACCAGATCTCAAGAGAGGTAATTTCACTGAGGAAGAAGACGAACTCATCATCAAACTCCATAGCTTGCTCGGTAACAAGTTAGTCTCCTTCTCTCTGTTTCATCAATCATAACAGAGGATCTTGAAAAGAAAAGCAAGAATCATGTGTGGATGTTTTTATTCTCTTTCTTTGTGATTTTTCTAAAATTTTAAATCTAAAATTTGGGGGGAATTATCATTTGCAGATGGTCGTTGATTGCTGGGAGATTAGCAGGAAGAACGGACAACGAGATCAAAAACTATTGGAACACTCACATCAAGAGGAAGCTTCTCAGCCGTGGGATTGATCCAAACAGCCACCGTCCGATCAACGAACCCACAATCCCTCCTTCAAAAACAACAACACCGCCACTTCTAAAAGAAGAGCCTGTACAGTTCCATTTAGCCGGACCCGATCAACAACAGACGGTTAAACCGGAACCGATGGTGCTAGACCGGGAAGTGATTGATAATAATAATAATAATAATAATAATAATAACTGCTCGAGCAGCGGAACGACGTCTGAGGAGGAGTGTTTACTCAATTTGGAACTCTCTGTTGGTCCAGCTACGAACAGGAGTTATCGGTACGAGTCGTCCCGGAAGACAAATCCCGACTCGGTTAAGTCCACTGGACGGTGGGGATCCGAGTTGTTCGTGGATCAGGTTGAAGTGTGTTTGTGTTGTCGGATAGGGTTTCATAATGAGTCGTGTCGGAATTGTCGTATTTCTGATGTTCGAACCGTCTGGGAATCGAAAATTCTTTAGGAATATCTGTACTTTTGTTTTGTTTTATTACGTTTCTTCTTGTAATGGATGCATGAAGTAACTAATTAGGTAAATTGGTCGAAAGAGATTTTTTTTTTTAATGTAGTATTGTTATTATTTGTTATCAGATCAAATCTGTAGATATGTTTCCATGTCAACTTTCAGGTAAAGCTATGTATAAACTAGTTCAACCGAATTATTTTAAATTGTTCCAAAACAATAATTAGATTTTTCTTAAACCTACACACCTACCTGACCAAGTCACAAAAGCAGAGAATGTGCAGAGCAATTACGCAGTGTTTGATGCAGGCAGAGCCAACTAATTGTTTGGTTTGGTTTCGTGAAAGGTTTTTGTATGTATGTTGTTAGTTTGGTTGGCTACTCTCATTTTCCCCCTCCAGTTGTATAATTTTTAACAAACTACACCACTTTACTATCCGTATTTCAAATAACTAACCCTGGATTCGGTGTGTTTATTTTTACTTCCCTACAAATTTTAAACGTAGTTATAATGAACTCTAACACAAAGTTGAAACGTGACAGGAAATATATCAAGTAACGAAGCCCATGAAGAAATCGAAAGTGGACACTTCTCGTTTTGAAATAACCGTGCTGGCAAGCATTTTAGAACATAAATTAGATCTAAGTTTCAATTAGGGATAGAATATTCCGCATCGAAAATTTAATCAACATTAATAATATATAAATAGTTAAGACGAATTCACATATCAACAATTGATTGATTTTAAGTTGAAAACTCATAGTAAACGCACATCAGAGTTTAGATCAAAAAAATCTTAAAATTCATAATTAATTAATTAACCATTTTGGATATAATTGTCGTATTTAACCTTCTGATTAAGTATAATTATCATATTTGATTCGCTCAATCGAGTATATATGTTTTCCAAGATTTCTAATCGATAGGAACTTTCAAATATCTCACATTGGAAATTCAATGAAACTTTAAATAATATATAAATTTTTTAAAGCCAATTCAATTATTACCAATTAATTTTAGGTCGAAAGTTCATAATAAACTCGAATCTAATAGTTTATATCATTAGTTTAGTACCATTAATACCATATTCTTTTAATCTATACTATATAGGTCCTATGTAAATACTTCAACATATATTTAGGTCAGATGTGGTTTTGTGTTCTATATTGGTTATTTCTTTGACAAAATTTTTTTTGGTTATTTCTTACTTATTTCAGACTTTTAAGTATGTGAAGACTTCAGCATATATTTATCATTTATTTCAGACTTTTAAGTAGTTGCAAACATGTGATTTAATTTGGGAGAGGGAGATCAAAACAAAATACTGATAGGCATGTAAGTTATCAGTTGAGTTGTTACCAAGTGTTGCCATAGAAGTTCCATCCCTTTTTTTTTTCTTTGTGAACAACATAGAAGTTCCATCCCTATACTTCCCTTTATAGACAAAAAATTAAAGTCAACGTGGATTAACTTCGTTCTCTGGTTTTGTTTTTTTGTTAATAGAGGAATTACAAGCTGACACCATGTTTGCAATTGATAGCTACATATTAACAAAATAATAATTTTGAGTGGTCGTTCTTGTAAAACTAACATATGCATTCGTTTACGTCATGGATATCAGGATATAAATACATTAATGGATACTTAGTCACCGATAAAAAAAATAGAAATGTACACATTAAGCTTTTAGGAGAAAGCCGCTATCGTAATAACAACAACAAAATCAGAAGTTATTGATAGTTGTTTTTTTTTTTTTGATCAACTATTGATAGTTGTTTATTATGATTGTAACTAATACTCTTATTACAAATAATCATCGTCACCATTATCTTAAGCTTTTAGAGTGGACTGTGGAAATCAGGTAACGTGCCAGCTCCAATCTGGTTTCAGCATGTGGTTTCCTTAAACATCTTTTCATTAAAAATGATATATCATGAAATCGAAGTTTAGGTTCTTTTAGGTAGAATCTCACCAAAAAGCTGATTTAATAACAACTAGATTCTAATCCGCGCGTCCGCATGAATGTTTGTTATTCGATAATTACATAAATATTTCAAAACATAATGATTTAATGGTCTTTTGGATTGGATCGGTTTGAATAAAGTCGTGTTTGGATCGGTTTCTATTTATATAAAATCTAAAGTGGAGTCGAATTATAAATAGTTTGATTCAAGTTTAAAACCAAAATCTTGATTAACTCCCAAAAACTCGAATTAATTAAACCTAAAAACTCGAAAAGCTTGGATAATTTAGGATTTTGGATATTATTTACTTATGAATATCACTATTATTTTATTATATTTTGAATATTGAAGTATCGCTCGATTTTGTTTTTTCAGGTTTATAGAAATATGAATAGATTGGATTTTTGTAGATAGGAATCAATTTTTTTTGAAGGCTAAGTGACGTTAATTTATTTAAGAAATTTAAAATGGCAGTTTTTAGGCTAATAGCACACAATTATAAATATTAAGAAAAAGTCAAGGTTTAAATACTAATTGTATTTCAGTTTTATTAGTTTAAATTGCATGATTTAAATGTGTTATTAGTAATATTAAGCCGTTTAGATCAAATTATCAAGCAGCTACAAAATATTATAAAAGAACGTAATAATCGGTAAACTTTTATATTTTAGACATGTTATAAGCGTATTAGAAAAACTGTAGCATAATTTAGATAGTTATGGAAAAAGGTAAAATTTGGATAATTAAAATTCCGGAAACCACATATATAACAAAATGGCGAAACATTTTTCTCTTAAAGGATACTGAAAACATTCCGAAAAAGGTACTGAATTTTTTGCAATAACCCTCCATTCCTCAATAGGTAGATGGCATTGCAGACGAAACATTTGACTTCTCTTAAAGGATGTATGAATTTTAAAACCCTATATACAACAAAATGGTCAAGTGATTATCATATATAGTTAAACAAAACAATAGAAAAATGAAACACTTATAGTTTCATCTAAAAGAATGCATTTAAGTGTCTATCTTCTATAGCTCGTGTTTTGTTTCCACAGGTGAAGTAGTTTCATATGCACTCGCCAGGTTGTTTTTAAGTGGCTTCACATCTTTTATTTGTATAACCGAAGAAGTCGTGAAAACAAAGTATGAAACATTGGCATCGTATACAATACACTACAAAATTTTTAGATGAAATGCTAAAGAAGAGTGTTTGTCTTAAATTTTTAATAAAAGTAGAATTAGTGTAGATTGTTAGTAAAAGAGAAACAGAATTAATGGGTTACGTTAGGTGAATGACTATTGGATTATGTTAATCCTATTAATGATTTACGTTTGGCCATAACGTGTGAAGTTCTAATTATTAAACCATTAATACTGTGTAATTATTAACGCATTCACTTGTAATTATTTAAGAAAACTTAGGGTCAAAATTTATTTGTATTCCTGTTTTAATAGTACATATAAGAATGTTTAAGGTCATTTTACAGATAAAATATCGGATTATGATAATGTTCATCTTGAGACAAATCTTATTTCACTGAACCATTTAATTTACGTGTAACATGGGAAGCCTTTTCATACACAATTCTAGGAAAATAGGAAAATAAAAGTAGCATTTTTTGAAAACAAACAAACAATCCAACATAATATCTGCATGAACAAGATACACATATATATGACTTTATTTACGACGAAGTAAAACGAAAATTAAAACGGGTAAATTAGAAATAGGTTTAAGTACTTGTGATTACCAAGCTAAATTAAAAACACACCCACATTTTTAGCTGGTGTCATGTATCGATCGATCTGACCAGACACATATCGATCGATATGGGAGCCTTGTATCGATCGATATTGTTAAATCTGAGAAAATATAGAAAGTTTCATTAAAGGCTTTCTTATATATACCTTTAGGGTTTTACCCTATTCTGTAAGCACGAGTTGTACTCTGAAAACTTGTCTCCATCAATAAAGTACTCTCTTTGCCCGTGGACGTAGCCGTTAGGGGCGAACCACGTTAAATCTCTGTGTCTTTCTTTTCTATTCATCTATCTATTAATCTGTATCTTCTCACATCTGTCACAACAAATTGGTATCAGAGCTTCGGGTTGAATCTGGTGAGAAGATGTCTGGGATGAATATGAAGATAGACAAGTTTACTGGAAGGAACAGTTTCAGTCTCTGGCAAATCAAGATGAATGCGTTGCTGAAGCAACAAGGTCTTTGGGCACCGTTGTCAGGGAAGAAAGTTGAATCTGTTACTGCTGAGATGTAGGTTACTGAAGAGAAGGCGTATTCAAAAATCTTGTTGTGTCTGGTAGATGAGATCATAATCGAGGTTTCTGGTGTTGATACTGCAGCTGATTTGTGGTTGAAGTTGGAGAGTCTATACATGACGAAGTCTCTGACTAAGACGCTACTTCTGAAACAACGTCTTTTCGCTCTGAGGATGCAGGAAGGTACACAACTTCAGGATCACCTTGATAGTCTAAATTCCATTATGTTAGATCTGAGGAATATAGATGTTAAGGTGGAGGATGAGGATGCGGCACTGATTCTGTTGGTATCACTGCCTAACTCCTATGAGAACTTTGTTCAGTCATTCATAGGGAGTAAAGATACAGTGAGTTTGGAGGAAGTCAGGTCGGCACTTCATAGCAGGGAGTTGCGTCACAAGGCATCTAGTGCTGGTACAGATGACCAAGCTTTTGGGTTGTTTGTAGGTGGTGGAAAAAACTTTGGGAAAGACAAAAGGTCGTTTACAAAGGGTCATAAGCCAACTGATATTTGCCATTATTGCAATGAAAGAGGGCATTGGAAATCAGATTGCCCCAAGAAGAAGAAGCAAGCTGGTTCTGCTGCGGTAGCCGAGGATGAAGCTAAGTCTGATGACGATATTGCTCTAGTTGCTCATGGAAAAACACATTCTAGGGATGTGTGGGTTCTAGACACAGGAGCGTCATATCATATGTGTCCAAGGAGGGAATGGTTCTCAGAGTATGAGGGAGTGACTGATGGCAAGATCAAGATGG